TGTCTATGTCTTTTCTTGTCTATGGTCGCCCCATTGCTGAGGCAGGACCTGTGTGCAGCAACTGGCACTGAGTTTATGGAGACCATAGCTTCAGACAATAACCGCCAAGTTCAGTCCCTGCTGAAGACCCACTATGAATGCCCCTTGGTGCACGATTCTCAGGGACAAAGGCGGCCTGTGAAAATTTTGGGTGGCTGACATGACATGACTTGACATTTCATATCATCATATCAATTCATTTTTCTCATGTCTAATCATGCAAATCATTGTCACATTATATTATAATATCATGCGTCATGCGGCTGTTTATGCATGGTGTGATGTGTACTGTGCCCAGTGCGCAAATCTAACTCCAAGAAACCACATTTTTGTCATTATATATCATACGAATTTGAAAATACAACATTCATTCTATCAATAACATTATATATTTTACATAATTGTTGAAAATAAACACATCATAAACTATAATATTTGTATATCATTAAAAAGGATCCCTAAGTGAATCATCTTATCTCATATCAGCTCGTATCTTTTCCTATCATATCGTATCGTCATGGTTAGTCATATCTTTTTTGGTCCCACTGCATAGTTTGAATCAGAAATCAGATATCATTTTAATCATGGTCAAAAAAAATAGGCGGCATCTCCGATTTTATTAGGGACAGAGCGTTCCTTGGGGAATCGCGCAATTTGATCTTGATCGGTTTGATCACAACTCAATTGGCATGCGGTGTATCAATATCATCGTATCATTCTGATAATTTGGGTTGCGTGTAGATTGTGTTCAAATGGTTTCGCGCAGGATGGTTGTTCCAAACGCGCAATGCATATCATATGAAGAGCAATGCAGGAGGTGTCTGACTTGACCCTTCCTGCCCAGACATGTGCTGCCCAGGCGGTCATATTTGGAATGACTGTGCTGGCGGACACCAAGGAGGCCATTGCGTCCTTCATGACCAGTACTGCGTTCCAGATGAAAGTGGAAATTTGGAAGAGGACAAGTGCTGAGCAGATGTGCAGGAAGTAGGTAACAGGAGGAATTCAGAATAGCAATGGCAACAATGGTGTTTTGAAACAGGTTATGGGTATCGGTATCGGTCCGATATAAAAAGGATCTTGAATATGAACCATATGAACCACATGAAACATGAACATTGCAGGCGGTTTTCGAGAATAAAAATTATGCATTCCAGGTGTATGACGACCCTAGATCTAAGGTAACGGCAATGTTAGCAGCCATGGGCCATGGTTTGACCACTTGCAGTCCCGTTCTCTCATTACATCAAGGCTAAATAAAGGTTCTAGCAGCCCTCTCACAAATCTTGTCGAACCACCAACGAACCAAATACAGCCATAGCATGACCCTTCTTGGTATGATGAAGGACTTAGTTCAATCGGGGATCCGGGATACAGTTTCTTTGTCGGATCCTTGTCCTTTTTTGACTCAGGATCTTTCAGGGTCTACGGTCTATATCTATATTTCTGTCACAGATCTCTATATCTTAACTTGAGCTGTTAAAGGGATCACACCTGCTGCACAGGTTTTTGACCAGGAAAACACAGGTCATACTAATCCAGTTTCTACCAGCTTATTGTAGTTCCTATTATTATTGTATAACTTTGTATTTTAAACTATAGTCTATAGTCTTCATATAGTGCATACTGGCTACCCGTAGATTCGCTGACGACGACTCCCATCATGAATCTAATCTTGTACCTGGGGTCACGCTGTATATATACAGCTGATACGATATGATTCGTTCTGTAACATATCAGTATTGTTATATAGTATATCTATCAGTATATATATATATGTATATGTATAAAATACTAATATACACGTCACACACATACATACATACAAACATACATACATACAGGCAGACAGACAGACATATAAACATACACATTGCTACGTGCATAATTCTTGACATTATAATCCAACGGTGGGATATGAAATGATTTATGGTCCATGGGTGTGATCCGATGCAATTCATACGACAACAAAAAACATGTGGCAGGGCGCTCACTACCAGAAAATGTCACACGTTGGGCTGCATGCTTCCTTTCCAAATTCAAGGTTGAACATGATGGTTGAGGTTTTGGTTTCCTCGCAGGATATCTTTGCAGGAGGGCCCCCATGCCAACCCTACAGTTGCTTGTCAACACTGAGAGCTTCCCCCTCTTACGATCCTTTTCGCAATCACCCTGGCACTCGGCCGATCAAAGACTTCGCCCGACACGTGCGTGATCGCAAACCAAAATCTTGGGTTCTGGAAGAGGCCGGTAACCTGGTTTATATCAGCGGGCAGCAGTAGGGAGATTTGTAGCCTAATTTGTCAGTAGTAGTAGTAGTAGTGTTTGTTTTGCTGGGTTCAGTGAGCAGTTCATTAATTTTGTGGTGTCGCAGTGCTTAGATAGTTTTGGCCACGCTCAAAAGCTGATTGTTGTTCAGGAATACAACGATCCATTCTGATTCTGTTTGAAGGGAAAGCAAGCATGTCCAACCTAGTTTGTGGCAAGTGCCATGTGTCCCCACAATAGGTCTGTGGTTGTTGTTCTTCCGACGGTGTGAAGCCATCTACATGTACGGTACCATCATACACACAGCATATGGGTCTGAATCTCCGAATTGAACCGTTGAAGGTCTTCTTGGCGCCAATGATTTTGAAGTGACGGTGATCTGATGTCACATGATGTCAGCCATGATGATGGTGGTGTTATGGTTATAGTTATGGTTATGGGCTATGGGGCTTGATCGTGTGAATTTCGTTACACATGTTGTGTAAGCAGTGCAGTTAGAGAATATCAGGTACGGACAAGCGGTCAGAATCATGGGTTTTTGGGGCCACAGTTGCCAGGTGACAAACTTCAACAAGCCCTGGCCGAAGCAATGTTCTGGCACATTCTTCGACACATACCAGGCCAATGGTTGGGGTTGGTCATTTGCTCCTCTGGCGTTTTAGAAATCATACAATCATACAATCATAGGAATCATAGGATCGCAAAATCGCAGAAATAGAATTTACTAGTTTTTTTTTGCCTTATGACACTTATGCTCATGACTATGACTTTAAAGGACGCTTATGTAATATAGTGAAAATGTAAAACTTAACTGATTCAAAAGGCCATGCTTTTGAAAAACTGAGTGACATCGGCCATCATGTTATGTGACATTGTTGCAACCGACTGTTTGGAAGAGGCAGGGGTGGACGATAGATATATTGACGATATTGACGCTATAGCCGGTTACAGTGCGCAAGTGCTGAACAAGCGTCGGACGGTTTCACGGGGGGTCTTCAAGAGATTGGTTTGATAAATGAAGATGAATGATGAATGCATTCATGATTCATGAGGGTTCTATTATAACAAGAATCTCAAAGGTTTGATGATTTTCAATGATTTATGATACTGATACCTATGGTTTATGATCTTCCATGGTTCGATTCAGATTTTATATACTTGTATCTAAGCTACAGAGATTTTGAGAGGTTTGATGGTTTTTGACATGAAATGATGCTGTATGATATGAAAGGTGAACTTTGGTTATTTGTTGAGATTGTTTAGTATTATGGTTCGACGGACCCTTGAAGTTGCCAGTTTTAAGTTTGAAAGCAGACGGCTGAAGGTGATTCATCGCACTCATCAACATCAATGCCAGTATCACACAGGGCTGCATTCACAAACCCAGACCGAAGGATTGAACCAAACGATCCCATCGTATGCATCGTGACCTCAGAGATCTCTATTTAGTTTTGCCTTAAGAGATCTTCTCTCAAGAGACCTAAGAACCTTGGAAACCCATGCTTGGGGCCATGTTCCATGGATTAGTTTGAGGCCATAGATAAATGTAGTTGTTTGGCAGCAGCAGCAGCAGCAGCAGCAGCAGCAGCAGCAGCAGCATGTTGCCCACATAGTTTCCACTTGCTTGGAATGCCATTACGCAATTTTTTTGCTTCGCTGCCAGACGCTGATACGCCTGAAGCCGAAGCATCAGAGCAGCAAACCCCAAGTGATCAGAACGAGTTAGAGCAGTTTAGAAGACAGAAACGCACAGAGAAAGCCAGAGTAGCTTCACTGCTGTCCAAACAAAAACGGAAAATAGAGAGAAATCTTTTACCAGATGAGGGTGACGAGGAGTTGGAAGCCAAGAGGCTCTTCCAGCAACAATTTCTGGCATCTCGCAATACCCAGTGGGACCCGCTCGAAAATGCCCACCGGGAATACCACTCAGACACTCATGATGAAGCGAATGGCAGACGCCGCGCTGTTTTTTCATACTTCCGAGCGTTTGCCATTGCTGTGAAGGAACTGTTTCAATGGAATTCAGCTTCTCCATCATCCATCTCACATGTGATCAGTGTAAACACAAACGACGATACCAACATGAAGCTTGGTTCTGGGTCACGTGGCTCTTCGGAAGTCAGGAGCGTCATGAACAGTTTGCAAGAACACATTGTCGTTTCCAAAGCTTTGCCAGAGCCTGTTTGGTTTTTTCTTCACCAACCCATCGTTGCTTTGGAGCGCCCAGACACAGCTAGCCTCTATTCCCATTTCATGGCCTGGACATTGGGATTGGTTGGCTATGTTGGTTGGAAGTTGCAGCCATGGGGCATCCCCAAAGATCTGTTCAAGAACGTTCGACGTCAGATGTTCTGCTTTGTTGGTGACGCTCTTCGGGTGAACGACAGTTTGTTCAAATTTTTGGCCCAGGCAGTTTGCAATCAGACTTTTGGTGACCGAGATCCTGCATGTTTCGTGATGCAGGTTTACTGCCAGATTCATCAGCTGGCCCTGACTAGGAAGGTCATTGCATTGGGATTTCCTGGGTACTGGACAAACCTCGTCCGGCTGGGGCATCTTTTTGAAAGCCATGCTTTCCGGCAGAAACTCAAGTGGCCATTTCACAGGTGATTCAAGAGGATTTTTTGCACATTGAGGTTGAACAGCTTCCTTCTGAAGCAACGGATTGGAGCAGGATCAGAATTGACGGATTAATGCTTCACACTGACACTGGTCACATGGGTTTTGGACCACAAGGGGGCTTGGAGAGCACAAGGATTTCCACACGAATGAAAGGATTGCGGAAAATCATTGAGAAGGACAATGGAGACCCCCATTCACCTATGTTCACTCACTATTGTACCGGCGCTGGATGCTGTCCCGGGGGAAAAGATGAAGCTTTGACTTCCATCATCGCAGCCTACACTGACCATTTTAGTCATATGTGTGTTCCATTGCTGTACCGATGGAAGCATGGAGCAGCTGCCAACAACTTTGTGAAAGATGGTTTTTTCTTGCACAAGATTCTTCCCAGAGCATTGCAAAGGATGCCCGCCATGAAATGCACCTCGTTTTCTGATAGCTAACTTCATTAGTTTCACGAGAAATTTGCCGCAAGTTGGTGCTGATATTGATGGTGGGTGATGCTGATAATATTGGAATTGACGATGATAATGATGTTGGGTTGATATTGTTACGGGTTTCCGGAGACCAGTTATTCATACAATTGCTATCCAATTAGATGATAGAATCATATACCGCTCATGTAGCTAACTTTAGCTAACTATGAAAATACATGCTTATATGCTGCTATGCTGCATGCACTGCTATATATCAGCTATATCAATATCTACATCTTTTAAATTGGACATTATATTATATTATAGTAATAACAATATATTAATATTTATTTTACATAAATATATAATTATAAAATATATTATTTCAAAACAATAATATGCGAAAGAGATATGTAATGTATAATGATATCACATTTGAACTTATATTCTCAAACGGTTTTTGATCTGGAATTTAGCCTAGGTGACACCGACAAGATTTTGAATGCGATTGACCAGTGGACACGGGCTGCGCAAACCCGAGATGGGTCAGATGCGGAAGAGTTGGGTCGGATGGTGGATGAATTACTGCAGCAAGAATCATCCTTCGCTGAGCAGAATGCCAAAAGGTTCAAGGCTGTCAATGAAGCTTTCCAAAAACCTACTTTTGAGGTGCAAGTGTACTTGGTGGATGTTTTGATGCAGCCAATCGACAAGGCAGTCAACACCCTTCTCAAGCGAACCTCCATTTTGAAAGCCATTCGTTTCTGGCAGGCAGACAAGCCCTCGCGCTTGCCAGACTTGAAGGTTAGTTCCAGGGATTTTTTCCTAGCGTGGAGCCGGGGCCAGTTTGGAGACGGTATTGTCTCGGATTTTTTCGTGCAACTAAGATCCAGTGAGCTAGCCAAGCACACAGACTCTTGTTCCGATCCTTCAGTCATGGACACTTGCTTCTCTTTGGTGGTCTTTGGGGTAACTGATTCCTGGTGGCGGTGTAGCTTTCGCTCTAGCACCTTTCCAAGCAAGATGTTTTCTCTTGCAATGTGTGACTTGCCGACGTTTGTTCGGCAGTGGGGTGAATACCGGGCCATCTGCGATCTTTGCCCGCAGTGCGTAGATGCTGGCTTCAGTGAGAAGTTGCTGCGGTCAATGGATTTGACGCGTTTGTCACCCCCAGAGGTTCACCAGTTCTATGAGGAGTGCCTCGGTGACCATTCACCGGGGCTCAAACGGGAAAACGCATGAACGCAGTTTGGGTTTTATGATAATAATCTGGCCCCTGGTATGGTATGATATTAAACGTATGTAGCATGCATCTGATGCAACTTATGCATGTGATTCATGTGATTCAAGTGATCATGAACACAACATAAGTATCATAATGAAAATTGACAGGTGATATTGACTTGACTTTGGTGCAGATCAGATACATGATGAAAATGTCAGACACTTCTCGCCAAGCCGATATGATATTGATCTACCGGTGCCAATACCATAAAATCTGCTTTTACGGTTACAAGGCATCAGAATCAGCCAAATGTCATTGTCGGTTCCAAGCTTCCTCGAAACTTTCTTGGCCAACCATGTAGATATGATTTGCTAGTTTTGGGATTTAAGGATTAAAATTACATTATACAGTCAGCAAATGAACCCATATGCTTTGACAGATATATGAAATATGATATATGATACAGAGTTATAGTAGAGTTATAGAGCTATAGACTATAGACTATAGGCATAGACCAGAGAGCAGGGATGAGTGATTACTAGAATGTAGAAATAAAAGTGGAATGTATCCATTTTGCAGGCTTGGCCTGTGACATTTTTCCACCGTTCTGTGGCATCATCCAGCCAAGGCTGCAGGAATTCCTCCAAGACGTTGCAACGTTCTGCCCCTTGGCAACGAACTCAGTGGAGAATTCCCACGCCCAACATCAGCACCAGCTTTTCACTTTCAGAGGGAAGGCGAAATCTCCAGCTGCAGCGGGGGAATGCTCCGTGCTGTCTTCACTGATTCGAGAACATTCCTACTTGAAGACAGTAGTCTTGGCGCAGACAATGCCGAGCAGACTTGGCGTCTCCACGATGTTGAAACATCTTGGTCGGAAAAAGGGTATTATGCCCAAGTTGAGCCGTAAACGTTTGGTCATACGTGCAGTCAAAAGAAAGACTAGACCCCTGTGTGCTTGGAACGTCTACCAGAGAAAACGCCTACAGGAGTTGGGCAATGGTTCCTCCTTGGGGCCACTTGACTTCAAAGCGGCCATGAAACGGATTGGACAAGAGTGGGCGCAAAAATCTGTAGAAGATCGAGAAGAGTTTAATTTAGATGCCCGGTACCGTCAGTCTTGTAGAGATGAATTGCAGCTACGTCCATTGACAGCTGGGAGGCCATCAGCCAGAAGCACAGGTGCACTCTCACATCAGCCTGGGGACGCAGGAGCTGCTCAAGACTTACCGACCAATGTCTTGGAGCAGATTGCTGGCAACCTTGCCTTTGCCAATTATTCACCTTTACTGTTTCTATTTGGTGTCAATTCCAACATTGCTTGGATGAAGGTGATTATTGTACGGTATATGATATGATATGATGTATATGATGGTACAGATAATAGATACTACACTACTATATTAACACAAGTTACAAGAGTCTTAATTATATATAGCTTTGTTGGTGATGTTTTATCTGTTCTTAAGTTCTTACTCCCGAGTCCTGTTGAAATTGCATACCCTTCCAGGTGTGATGTGCTCTCAAAGGGATTAGCCGCCCTTCCCATTTCCCATGAGTATTTGTTTTTTGATTAAGTGGGTAGTCCCGGATAGTCATCATCATAGTCCATAGCACATATGATTCAGACTATTCATTTGGTATGATATGATATAATATATCTAAATGTGTGATGTAAACAAAGACAATACTCTTACAAGTTTTAAATGTGTAGTTCCATCACCTTGTATTCCTATAGCCACTTACATCACCTATATCCTAGCCTGCAGCCTATACGTTACAAGTTATAAGTTATAAGTTTATATAAGCCTATAAGCCGCCTAGGCTATTAGACTTATGGGCCGCATAGGCTAATAGGATGTAGGGTAGCGTTATATTATAGCGCTGTAGTTACAACCTTACAGTCCCTATCGCCTCTCCCCTTTCCCCAATCTTGATTCCATCAGCCAGCCCGGCACTAAGGCAAGAATTTTCGGAAACGTGCCTCAGCTGCGAGGCTTTGCCTCAACAGTGAACAGAAAGAGGCCCACAGTGCTTGGCCCTCTTTCGGCTTGGGGCTGCAGGATTCAGACGGGGCTGTGAAGAAAGGTTTAATTGATTTGAGTCTTTCAATCAATGCCGTCGATTTTGCTGTTGATTTTTCTTTGCATCGCAAAGCAGAAGATGACCTTTTGGCCAGCTTGCCAGTGGTTCCTGACGCAGAGCTGACCGTTCATTCTCGGACGTGTTTGCATTTGTTTGGGCACTGCCAAAAACTTCCCCACCATGATTTGAGCCATGCTTTCGCCCAGAGTTTCGCAAAACTGACGTTGGATAGGAAACTTCCTTCTGGAGCATTGGTGCGGATCAAGCCGGATTGCACAGACAGCAGGGGCTCAAACGACCCAGTGCCAGAGTCCGTTTTTTTCCTTGGTGCTTTGTGCAAGAGGCCATTACACCAAGTTTTCCTGAAAGCGTGGCCTCTAGAAAACCCGAAGTTTTCTCTGGTGGACAGTGCTGGGTCTCCCACATTCATGATTTCACACCAGGCATTTTACAAGCTGATTGAATCGTGCCAGGGAAATGTGACAAGTATGATGGTGTCCATTTTTCCAAGCAGAGTTGATTCTAGACTTTGGGGCCGGCAGCCGTTGCAAGTTATAATCACAGGCCCACCGACTGATGTTGCCATCAAAAGTTCCAACAGTGGGCCACCACCCAAGTCGAGCCGTTCAAAAGAAGTTCGTCTCCCTTTTGGTTTGAAGATAGAGAAAGAGCCAAAGAAAAGAGCTCAAGGAAAGAAAGGACCAAAGCAACGGGTTTCACAGAACCCTGCCCAGCAGCCCGCCGTGGCAAAGCAAAAGAGTGTTGCTGTTCTGTCTTCTTGCTCAGAAACAGGCTCTGACTCTGATGCTTGCGGCTCGCCAGACTCCAAAGATGATTCAAGCAGCGAAGATGACGCTTTTTCCAATTCTGCAGTTTCACCCCATGATGACCATGTCCCAGTTGATGAGCCTGCGGCTGGGCTTTCAACTTCAGAGCCCGTCCCACCAACCATTGCCGCCAGGGACGAGAAGAAGGAAGTCAATGCTGCTGCTAGAGAGCATCGCTCTGACTGTGCCAAGATGGCAAGCTGTGCTGAGCAGGCGATGAAGTCAACATTTTTCAACAAGATCATTGGGTTTGAAGGTGCCTCCATAGCAGCTTCGAATAGAAGTATTTGCTACCACTGCAGCACTGCAATCCAAAAAGGCAGCTTGAGGCTCACATATTTTTACAGCACCAAGAGACCCTCACGCTTTATGCATGCATCCTGTGTTGCCCCATTTGTGAGAGACGACCCTGCTTCACGAAGAGCACAAGCGGTCGAAGCAGTCAGCGGCGCAGCTGACAGTTTTGCTGACCAACATTTGAAAGACCAGGTTTCCAATCTTTTGCAGGAGCTTCTCCAATCCTAGTTGGCACTCTCGACGCAAAATTGCTGAACAAAGAAAAATGCTGGGAGGTGGCGTGTCCCCCAACTAAACTATATATATATAAATTATTGCGTATGATATAAATATATCATATGATATCATTATTGTTTATTTAGTTCATATGATCTCATTAATATCCTAGAGGCTACAGTTTGTAGCCTACTTAGAGCCATGGTTTTTTGCAGCTTGTAGCCTGTGTGCCATTGCCCGCCGTGCCAGACTCCATACGAGTACTTCCTCCACGGCCAAGATGGCGATGAAGTATTTGGAGTCAAGAGGATTGACACCAAGTACCACATCCGGGGCATGCATCTCCGGTGGCTTGGGTATGTTAGTTTTGAACACTGGCTGTCCCAATTTTGAAACCTTTCCTTCTTCCAGACAGTGAACAATCCCAAACAACTTTGACTCTGACATTGACGCCAATTGACAGAGCCATGGTTCGTTTGCAAAGTTCTTTGCGTCACACTGAACCATATATCTTATCATTTATATCAGTATCATATAATATGTAATATATCACTAGACTGTATCAAACTGTGTCATATCCTGTCCTTTTGAAACTCAGCTTGCTTGTTGGTCCAGTGGCCCAGTGAACCAGCATTTCTTTTCGCGGCTCAACTTTTAACCATGTTTTTCCTGTTGATAATCGAACATTCACCCCAGGGTTTTTGAGTGGCAGCTGTTCTGACGTTTTCAATCCGCCATTGCAAGCCTGACCTTTTGAAAATTTTGGGGTCCCAAACCCTTAAAAAATATCGTGCCTTGAACTGGTGGTTTGGAACCTTTGTAGTTGGGTGTTTTTGGGAGTCCAACGGCTGACACTGTATGAATGAATGCAACTACTTTTGCAGTTATGCAGCTATGCAGATACACTAGTACTTCTCATCTTGTAATGGGAAAATTGGGATCTTACTTACACTTCATCATCATGTCGATGTCCGACTACTTGATCGGATATTACTTACTGCTTGATGCCTGGGTCTTCGTGGAATGATGTGCAGTTCGTAAATTGCTTATCTATAAGCAGTCTGGCTCCAAAGATTCATATTCATATTGCGTGATTGTAATTTTCCTCAAGGGTCTGTTTTTAGCATCTTTTCTTTGGGGGAATTCGTCAGCCCGACTTAAGGTCTCGCGACTATGGGTCGCCTCAATGCCGATTGAGGTTCTATGTGGTTGCTGTCAGGGCGGATCTCATCAGTGCTGGCGATTTTGATGCCATGATTGGCTTTTTGATGTGGCTGCCCCGTACTCACAACTATTCTCAAATCAACGACGTTGTGACCTGGGTGTCGGGGTTGGGGGTTCCGAACGTTGCCCACCCTTGCAGTGGCGGTAACAAGGACTCGGTTTTCAATTTGGGATGGGGGAAATAATTGCAATCTGAAGATGAAGACTGGAGACTTACTTACCTGTTTTTAACACCAAATGAGATATATGATATTATAACATAACATAATTTCAAAAATGTATGTGAAATCAAACCTTTCCCGAAGGTTAGTCATATTACTGTGATTCGGTTTTTCCTGTCAGTTCACCAAATATACGGTTTGTGGTATCGGCCGGTATCCGCTCTGTATCTGTATTGTAGCTGTCAACTATCGTGATATCATGTGATATCACATCATATCATATCACTAATGTCAAGTAAACCAAGTGAATTCATATAAGAACGGCACACCACTGATATTTTTTGATTTAACTTTTTAATAATGGTGTTAAGAGGCCTTTATATCTTAGAATATCTTAGATATCAAAATTATGGAATATTCACTGGTACCACCATTTGATATCAGAAGTTGGAGGTATCAAATCATCATATCATGTCATGTCATACCATATCATCGTCTCATATCAAATCATATCATCATATCATATCACAGCGTGTCAGATCATATCATTCCATATCATATCTTGTTATCATATCATATCAGATCATCATATCATACCGTATCATAGAATCATATCATGTCGGCATCATATTTTCAAACCATGTATCGTGCCACATTGGTGTTTGTACATCTGAACCGTTGAATTAGATGTCCCATATCATACCACCCAAAAATCTGTGTGTCCTGTCAAATTCATATTTGCAAGGTTCCTGTTTTCTTGTAGGTGCTGTGCAATGGCGGGTTTAGCATAGCGCCTGTTTTGACCATGGACGAGACTTGGGTTTACAAAAATTGGGTTTACGGCTGAGTTTGCATCTTATGGCCGCACCATAGGATCAGAAAAAAAGCAAGCAGACTTTGCACACATTCAAAATCACAGATGTCAAACCTTTCGTACTCACACGATACAGTCCAAGTATAGTTATAAAGCTTAGTCTAAGATCGAATCATATTCATATAAGATCATTTAATATATAGTAGTAACAATGTAATAAAAGAAGTATGTATAAGTAAAAGATAATAAAAAGTACTAACATTTTCAATATTATTTGATTTTTTAAAATTGAATCCTTGAATATTTCATTCCGAATCGTTCCCGTCCCATATCAATCACATCCCCTAAAGGCAAGCCCTCTAACACCCGGAAAAAGTTTCGAGAGATCCAGGAATTAGATTACAATCAGTCAGTATTGAAATGGTGTATTGTATCATACAGTACAACAATATCACATCATCTATTTTATCCTCAGATTATGTCACACAAACTGCATACCACGGCATGCCATTCATGATGATTTGCCAAGGTACGTAGCATGACCCTAAACCACAGAACTGAACTATCTTAACCCATCCCTGCCAAAGTGAGGTTTAGATTTCAGTATGGTGTAGCCAAGGATGTGCATCGAGCAGTCAAGTTGGAAGGTTGATATTTTCAGGCAGTTGGTGCACTGGCCAAACTATCCGTGTTTTGAATGTGCCAATGCATATTCATTTCTGCGCCACAGGGCTAAAACCAGTACAGTATTGGTTTCAAATTTGGGCTAGGCAAGTCCATGTAGAGGCCCCCCCGCGAGAGTCAGGTTCCTTATGCAATTTTTCTGAAATTTGAATTTCAATCCAGTTCTTGAAATTTTCCATTTTAGTTCCTGAGATTTTCAATATAGTTCCTGAAAATTTCAATATAGTTCCTGAGATTTTCAATATAGTTTCTAGCCACTTTTTAGCCACTTTTTAGGCCCAGGAACGGTCCCTACAGTCTGCGACGGTTCCTGAGAGTTCCTGGCCATACTTAAAAACCCAAAAATGCAGCTGGGAAAGCTGTCTCCTTTCCTTTTTGCAGGACCGGAAATTGAGCCAGAAGAGCTCTCAGGAGATCCAGGAGTGCAGAAAGCGCTTGGGCATGGAAGGCCAGATTGGGAATGGCCTTTGTGTTTTTGGGATCTAGGGCCCATTGATTTCATTCACGGGGGCCCTCCTTTCCTTTGCCGTTTTTCCAGATGACCACCACCCGTACACCAAGAACATCGATGACGGATTTCTTGCTTCATTGACGGCAAGGGAGAAGGCAGTGCTGGACATCAGTTGGGCAATCATCGTTCGGGACGCTTTGCAGAACTAACTTAGGCATTAACCCTGCAATCAACTCCCTGCAAGATTGCCAGGCTGTTGTTTTGCACCGCTAGTTTGAGTGATGTGGTAGTTACAAATCCGGATTTGTAGTTTTGTTGATGTTGATGATCTTTGCCATCCCATTGATCCCAACCATATTCCCAAAAGATGTTCAGCAGGTTTTTGTGGGTTCTGCGGCTATGCAGTGAGGGCTATGCAGGATATGACATGGTTTACTGGTTTCATGTTTGCTGTATGGACCATAGGACCGTATTATTATGATTATGAACTTACCTACACTTACTTTGTCTCATATTTGCTATTACTATGTTACTTAATTTATACCAAGCTAAGCTTATTAATTAACTTTTGTCCTTTTTGTAAACCATAAAGAACATAAGTTATATAATAAGTTATATATAAGTTATATAAGTTATATTAAGTTAAAAAAGGGCAAAAACATGATAGGTAAAATAGCCCTAAAACCCATAGTGTAGGGACCGTCGCGACCGTTCCGCGCTATCGGGGCGTATACAGTCAGAAACCGTCGCGACCGTTCCACGCTATATCCCTTAAAAAACCAATATAGTCCGGAACCGTCTGCGACCGTCCGGAACCGTTCCTGGAAAATGCAAAAACATAATAGTGTAGAAACCGTCGCGACCGTTCCGCGCTATATTCAAATTTACAGTCCGGAACCGTCGCGACCGTTTCCGCAAAACTGGATTTTTGCCATATTTTAACTTATGTTAGATTATGTTTTTAACTTATATTCTTATCGTATTATAACTTATAACTACTTAAAACCTATAACTTTATAACTTACACCTTTTTAACTTATAATTTAAAAACTCTGATAACTTAAAACTGTTATCATATAACTCATATCATATAACTTATAACTGGCACCTTATAACTTATATAACTACGTAAAGTTTATTACAACCTAAACTTACAACTTGTAACTTATAACTTTTATAACTTACATAGAATGGATTTAGCCTTGAAAAATTAACTTATATAACTTGTAGCGTGTAACCTTGAACAAACTGCGAACTGTCAACAAAAACCTTTACTTATACCGACAGCTTTTACCGTTCAAATTGCAACAACTTATTTTTTAAGGTATAAGTATGGGTGCTATAAGTTTATAATTCTGTAAAATAATTTTCAGCTGGAGCTTGTATTTAGATAACTTACAAATTTGAAAATTCTAACTTTTGATTCATACTAGCGCCCATGACTTACACTTAAACCGAACCATCTTCAACCTTCCAAACTTTAGCAATTTTTCCGTAGCGGCATTTGTAAATCTAATGTTTTCACCGTGCTGTGATGTGTGAAAAAACGGGAATGAGTAATATCCACGTTGTAATATCGATGGTGTTTTATTTTTTCTTTTTGTTTCTCATGTTATTCACTGCGAATCTTCTTGTTTACAACCATGGATGTGTCATGACATTAGCAACCAACCATATTTCCTTTGAACAAATGCAGCCTCGTGTGTGCGCACGTGTTTGGAGCCCCGACTTAAAAACTCATGATTGGGTATGTTATGCCTGGGAAACCAGTGACCCTAAAACCACCCCGTAAAATGATTATTGTAATTAATTGTATTATATTATATTACTATATTTTGAAACATTTCTTTACCTTATCAGACTTCATCAGTGATCGATATATCATGTCCTTTTTAAGGGCGTGTGACCCCCAAGCGCTTCCTTCCATTGATATGTATTTTGGACCCCCCCTCAGCATCTACAGTATTGTGAGCACTGTTGAGAATGCTGTGTTCCGCCCAGGATCTCAATGGCAATCCCGAGCGGCAAGCCTATTTGGTCGACTTGTCCCGCTGCTTGGTGGCAAAAGGTGGTCAGGCACTTCACACAAGAATGCTGCCCTAATTCCACTGCATGCTGCCTTATTCGACTAAGATGCAGAATGCGTTATCATCAGCATGAACATTAGTTGCATTTGACTTTGGAATCTGCGTCCTGTAACGTACAAATTATCGTGGGTTGATGCATGCTCCTTGAAGAAAGAAAAGTTACAGGGCCGCTGCCTGTTTGTTAATCAATCATGAGAAGGGATATCTAATTCGCAGCACTTTTGGTTTGTAGGTTGGAAGAGTAGATTTTTGGGCATCCAGGGCACTTACACGGTCAAAGAGTTACTAACCGATTTCAAGCGATTTGAGGCAGCCTTGGCCGGAAAGCCCTCAGCCGCTTTGGAAAGATCTCAGCGGTCACCACCCAGAACAAGTTCTGGAGCTTTGAGCATGGTCGTTTGCTTGCCGCTGAGGAGTGGGATGTTGCTTTCATGACTCTTGAGGTGAGCCATGTACCATGTAACTTTGGCTGTCGTGATGTGTGCTTGCTTTTCAAAATGAATATCTGATCTGTGATCAACGTTACTCAGAAGCGAATATCAGTTGAATTAGACAGACGTATGACGTATGTTTTTGTTGGTCAGACGTTTTCAAGAACCCATGTAACTGTGACTTTACTTGCTAAAGACAAGTACTATTATTGCTCTGCTTTGATTATTGCGACTTTGACTACTATGACTCTGACTATGACGACTATCGCCGATTTCATGATAAATTGCATCTTTTACCGCGCAGACCCAGAGTCTATAGCTAGATGTTTGCAGTCGGCCGGCATGACTGAGCATAGACAACAGTCAGCATCATCACTATCAAAACTGTCGCTATCACTATTCAAACTTATTGTCCTGTCCGTGGGTAGGCAGTGGCGCACATTTTCTTGGCTTCCAGCTCTTTTTTCGGGATTGATATGACTGACCGCCCTGAGGAGCTCCTGGCCATCCAGGGACTAGATCCTACAAGATTCTCCTTGCAAGACCACCCCTATTCATTTTGGAATAGATGTGCAGGCAGGGCCTCAGGTCAAAGAAGTTGTTTAATTGACCTCCTTCGTCCCCTAGTGTTGGGAATTGCGGTAGACAGATCGGTAGATTGCCACTCTTGGGCCATGAAGCCTTCAGAGCAAAGACTGGGTGTCACATAATCATATGTATCATATGTACGTTACATGCCGTATTATTCAAAAGATGGTTCCTGTTTTGTGAAGCCAAGTAACAAAACAGTATGAACCTGACTCACAGTAGAAGTTGGTTGCTGTACTAGACTATATATCAGCCTAGTCAGCCTAGTATCAATCTCGACCTAGTCTCGCAAAATATGATCATCTGACTCGTACTACCGTATTATCATACTTAATATCTTAAACTATACTTATCATATTATGAAATTGCTATACCTATACCAACCTATACCAACCTATACCAACCTATACCAACTTATCATATCTGAATCTGTAAGTAGTACAAGGGCGTTATTATTCATAGGATTCGAATCATGATTTTCGGGCAGCTGGTCTTGCCAGGCAATGCGATGACCGCCAGTGTGATTTCAGCGTGCATGTTTTCCATTATGTGCTACGCATTGCCAACTTCTTCTGGAAGACCACTTCTGAGCGGCCCATCGCCGATTGCCTTGAACCTGGTTCCATCAGCTACCCCTGAGTGTTTGCCCTTTGGCTTTGACGATGCAAAGACCTTGATTCTGGGTGATGATGATGCAGAAAGTGTGGTAGTTTCCGTTGTCGTGGATGGTGATGCTGAAGATGCTGCATCAAGTGGCGGTTTTGAGATGGTGGGCTCGTCATCTTCAGCAGGCGGCCCTGTTCAAACCCGAGATTAATTTGGAACCATTTTTTGGAGTACTTTTGCCTACCTGCTCAATGTGGGTGGCCTAAGCCTTGGCCATGCCAAGTGTGTTTGATTTGAAAATAGATGCGAGGTGCCAACACTCTTCAACTTTTGGAAGCGTAATTTGGATGTGTAGTGCTTTGCTATTTGCAAAAATATGGCCGGTATATGGTAGATAGATATGATTTGATTCATTGACTGATATATGATATATGGCAATGGCCCAATGGCTCTTTTCAGGCATGGCCCTGGCGGCATGGCCAAGTGGGAAGGCACTTCACTTGACTGAATACAAACCCAGGCAAGTTTCTGACAGTGTCCGGTCGTGAGACTTGAGACAAGTGTCAAGTCTTTGACGCTGATGGTTCCAAAATGCTGATCATTAGTCAGTGATTGGCTTCAGCTTACGGCCGTTTTGTTGGCTGCGAGGGTCCAGAGTTCAGATCTTCTGTGGGTGTATGATGTGACTGACCCAGGCTCAGTATCATTCGGATCTCAAAGGGTTGCAATTTGTAGTGATAGAGCCTGGGTTTGTCACCGTCGAGCTTTTGAAACCAATCCCAACTTCCCAAGTCCATTGGTCTGTGAGGTATTTCTTGAGCCTACTCTAGTCTGTTTCACTAACCTCTCTGCTTCACACTTTTCCGGTTTATTGACTTGGCTCCTGAAGCCCAGCCTTTTCCACACGACTGCTGAGTGCTTCAGAGGGTACGGTCCCTAGCACACGGTTGCAATGGCGGCACCCGAGCCATCTGACCAGCCGGTAGAGATGTGTTTGGCATGCAAACAAAAGGAGGGAGACCGCGACAAGGACAGAGATGTTGAGGGTTTGGCGCCTTAAGGGGTGAAAATACTTTGGTTTCTTCCATCTATGCGTGCGTACCGTACTTATTTCAATATCAGATGATGACCTGCGACATACCATGACATACCCTACCATATAGGCAATACAGGCAAGTCATTTAAGTCTATTTATCAATTGCGGTTATTATAAATTATATTTTTATTTTGTTAATACTATTCGCTTACTATTTATATATCAGGGCACTACAAGGGGAAACAGGTCCCAAAATGGAAGCGCTAAACTATGAAATCTCAAATAGAGAAAAAATGGGTGGTGGGAAGCTGCCCGGTGACCCCATGTTCTTTTTAGCCTGGGATCACCGAAGAGTGACGTCATAAACAAATGATAATCGGTGAGTAGTTCCTATCATGTCATATCACTTTTTGAGATTGGATGTGGCCGGTCTTCGTAGGATGAATGTGAAGTTTTGTTTGCATATGATCTCGCGTGTTATATACCAGTCATTGTTTTCACACATCACTCCGCTGTATCACTGTAGCACTGTAGACCCCAGACTACGGACTACGCAATACTGACTCGTACTTTGTTTTTTTTTAATACCCCTAGGGCCCCTAACTCTGTGCACTTTTTTGTGACAAGTATTGCGCGTAATTCCCTGGACAATCTTGATATGAGTTGTGAGTTTGTTATCATTGGTTTTGTCCCTGGTTCCACTGTGCCTAGTGGCATTTGTAGTTTCATTTGGGGGCCGTCAACCTGCGAACCACTACTGCCATTGCAACAGCGCAGGATGCGCCAGAGGGGCATGATGATTGCCTTGTGAACATGATCAAGGCTGGCGGCGCCATGTGCAAAGCTTGCTACTACCTGAAACGCGGGAGCCTAAACAACATGAAGGTATCAGACCTTGTGGCGCACATCACTGAAAATGAAAGCTTCGCCGATAAGTAGCTCGCCTACATCAAGTCCAACCGTAGTCGTAGTTTTTGTTTCAAATTCTGGCTTGCAAGTGTTGCAGCATCGTTGGATTGGGCCCTACATTTGCCTATCAATAAATGAGGCGGTTTGTGGTTTCATTGGTTCGTGCATAATTGCATACTTGTGCGAGTGTATGGGCGGCATGCAGCATTGCAGCTTCCAAGCGTGAGCACTCTATCCAAGAATCTAAGCTTAAAAGCGGGATTGCTCGATAATTATAGCCTAATAGCGATAAAAGGGTGAACCGCTCAAAAAGGGGGGTTCCCTTTTGTTCCATGTTTAGCTTGTGGAGGCACTTTGGAGATTTAGATCAGGATACCGGGATACCTTGATCAAACAATCTTGTAGTCCAGTCTGAGTCTAGTTTAAACATCTTAGGGCTCGAAACTACTTCAGGACATAATTATATAAACTGCTTTACCATATTGACTATACTGTCAGTTTGCCAACATTCTTAACATTGTTGTCCTGTCTATTGTCATAGTGAGTCATACATACTGCCATACCATCATGTTGCCATACTCCGCTGGGCTGGTGGGGTTCCAGCGCTTCAACTGAGGTTTGACCGGATGCGACAGGCCCAGGTTGCCTTCAGTGCCGCTCACCCCGGTAAACGCTACCGACATGAGAAGCCCGACATCAAGAACCTCATTGAGAAGAAGGATGAGAACTATGTGGACGTTAGCTCAGCAACTTGGCTGGTTGTGGGCTCTGTTAGAGAGGTTTGTGATGGTTTTTGGACCGTGTTAGTATGGCAACAAGCAACCATCATTTTGTGATATGATATGATATGCAAATTTTGTTTTTGAGCTCGGGTCATGTCAAAACAAAATTCTTCGCAATGTGTCCTCATCATCTTCTTTTTTGTGCGATCTTGAAACGGTGCCATCATAAATCATTGCAGTTATAGTCTGTGTAAAATCTTACTTTTATCTCTCAAACTTATTATGATTGATTTATGACAACTTATAATTCACGATTCAGATCCCATTCTTCTGAGGGCCAGGTTTGACAATGACGTTTGTCTTGCAGCCTTTTTTGGGGTTGGTATCGATGGGGCTGACGCTTGTTTCACCATGGGATTCTACATTGTGTTTGCCGGGCTGTTTGTGAGGTTATGGTGTGGCACAGCCTCAAGAAATTCTGTGATGACAGCTACCCGGAGATGAAATTCAAGACCGACGAGGCCAGGAAGAAGTACGTGATCAAAAAAGGCTTGAAGGTGCAGAAGGACGAGCACGGGCGCGAGGGGGTGGCTATGGCCAAAGATGGTGCGGACGATACGAAAGAGATTCGTGTTGGAAAACGCCTTTCCGCAAGCAAGTTGAAGCGTTTCAGCTATGGCGAGGATGCCGACAGAAATGAAATGGCAGCTCAGCACTTGAAGAACTCTAGCAATTTGAAAGTCGCTGTGAACACCAAGGACTGCGTTTCTTTTTGTTTGATTCCCCCCAAACCTGCAGCAGTATGGTGTGGAACAGGGGATTTCTTCTGTAGATTGGAAGCCGCAGATGGGTTCCCATGTTGAAACCGATGCCCATGCTATGTAGTGAGATTTTCCATGGTTGGGTCAGTGTTGGGTCAGTATGAGTCTCAGTTTTCTTCCTCAGTGGGTACAGTTTAAACTTGTTTCTTTGGGTCCAAGCACCTCAAAATAAGGCTCCCGTGCGCACGCACGGCTCGAACCCAAGAAACAAGTTTAAATTTATGCCACTGTCTGAGTAAGATAAGTTACAATATCGACGATATGATATGTTATTATACGCAGTAAAAGTAGTATCAGTATAGGTCAGGCATTGTATGACTGCATCACAGCATCACTGCATCACTGTATCTGTAGATGATCATGTGTAAACTTATCGTCTCATTGAATGAATAAGTAGTTAGCATCAGTGACAGCACCGGAAAGGGCAATAAGAAGTATTATTGTGCGGCTTTTTGGAAAAACAAGTGTTGAGTTTTGAAAACATATTGGGGCTACTTTTGTTGAGTCAGCAGTCAGCGTCATAGGCGTAGTCAAAGGTTCATAGTCGTAGCATAGCCGAGTCAAGAGTCATGAGTCATATGTCATATGAGTCGTATGAGTCATGAGCCATATGAGTCACATGATGATGCAACTAAATGAACAATTGTAGGCGGTTCCCCAATCCCACGTTCAAACCTAAAGCTAGCCACCCCATGCAAACTAAGTAGTCTCAGTCTTCCTAAGCCTTCCCACGACTTTGGCCACTTAGACCACTTAGCCTTTAATTGGAGTTGGTCTGGGATGTTATCTTATTGTCCCCGGCCATCCAAGTAAGAACGTTCATGCAATCATTTACAAACCTTGTTTTGGTTTTGTTTGTCATGAGTCATTATTTTCAGATCATTTGAATCATTTCCCTGCTTCTGAAGCTTCTGCCAGCAACTTGCAACCTTGCAGGAAGAAGTGTCGGCAGCTGTTGGAGCTGAAGAAGAGAGCGATGACGAGGAGAAGGGGAAGGGGGATCAACCAGCCGACGATGACAGCGATGCTTCCAGTGCTTTTGGTTTGGACACAGACACAAAGGCAAGCGCATCCAACAAGAAGAAAGAGAGCAAGGGCAAGACCCCAAAGTCCCCGAAAGGAGAGAAAGCAGGAGCGCCGGAGAAAGCAACTGCCAAGGCAGAGGGCAAAGCACTGGAGAAAGCCAATGGTTTGCTTGAGCAGGCCACCAAGCTCATGGGAGCATTGGCTCCAGTCACATGCGCTGCAATTTGGAAAGGTGCTTTCAAGGATGCCGACATCTCTTCAAAGCTCAAGAAATTGACTCAGGCAGGTGGCACCTTGTCGCAACAAGCTTCGACCATAGAGACGCAGGAGACCAAGAATGAGATGGAAGGAATGGCGAGCAGAATTGAGAAGCGGGTTGGTGAGGTTTCCCTCATCCAGGACGTTTTGGGGCAGTTTCGCAATGTGAAGCAGAATCAGATGGTTCCTTTGCTGAAGGACACGGATCTTCGGGACAAACTGGTTAACGTTTGTGGTTTGATGGATGCCGAGACTCTGTCCAGTTTTCTTCTTCACTTGGCAGCGAAAACGTCGGAGGCTGGGTCTCCGCAGGTGTAATGAATTCTGGTCACAATTCAAATTATAATTTCATAAATAATTCATAATTGAATTGCAACTAAAACTCAAAATTATGATTCAGTCATAAATTCGAAAATCATACAGTACAGTACAGTATTTAGTACAGCCGTACAGCAGTATATATACATTACATACTGTATCAATGCAGCTTCTTGTGGGGTGCTTTCTTTGGCAAAGATTTTGGCATTAGTCAGTGTGAGTGCAACTTCAAGCCTTGCATCGGTCTACTAGTTTACCGCTTGCCGTAGTTAATCTCTCATACTCTCGCTGACATCCTTCGAGAACCACAAGGTTCAAGCCTTTGCCCCTGGCCCAGCTCCAGCAGTTGGTTTACTGGAAACATGGATCTGAATGACATATGAGCTGTGACTCGTATGATCTATTGCTAAAACTCAGTACGGCGTGGTATGGTATGGTCACATTATTGTTCATTAGTGTACTGACACGTTATCAATGTCATTAGTAACATTTGTAACATTAGTGTACGCCGAAAAGTAAGGAATGGACTAGGATGGGCTAAAGACAGGGCACTGCTTGATGAAAATACTGATACTTTCTAAATATTAGTTCAATGACAGATGTTTTACAGACGCCAATGCCTATACTGATGATATACGGTATATACGGTATTTAGACGACTATAGACTGCAGGCTGAAGTATAGGCTATAGACTGTAGGCTTTTGACATCGACATCATACAGATTATAGACTGCGATATAGGTTCTATTAGGCCATAGTTTCCGCCGCTCCTTCTGGGCAGGAGAGCAGCGAGGCTTTGTTTCAGTACATCAACTTCAGCCAGGATTCTTCGAGGGACATCTTCAGCTTTGGGGATCTGTGGGGCAACACAACAGGCACGGACCAGCTGCTGCTCCGGTCGCAGTGCACAATCGCGCATAGCTACATCGAGCTCTACAAGAACTTCCCTTTGGCCAAGATTCAGAAAAAGGCCCCTGCGGTTTTGGAGAACTTGGCGGCTGTGAACAATGTCCAGTGGTTGAGGACTAGCTCCGGGGGAGGGTGGGAGCGTTGGATGAACCAAAGATACCATTGATGTGATTTCTTTTCCATTACTTGTACATCATTCGATGAACCATTGATGCCAATGATTGTACAACATTTATCTAAGAACATCATCTCACTAGACACACCCTATCATATCTCAATCTCATGTCACGTGCAGAAGAGTTACCGAATCAGAGTGATTGCACTTACACAGACACGATTTATACATCCAAGTGACTCAAATGACATAGTCTTGACAAATAATAGTTCTGACGTGTTCTGACAATACCGACTAAGCCGAATTTTGAAACATCTGATCTGCCCGTTAATTCATCAGCGAGCCCCTTCCAATCCGCACTTGGGCTGCCTAAAGTAGCAGTAGGATTTTTGCCATCAATGATTCAATGTTTTGTGTGTCCACCTTTTGTTGTTGGGCGCATTTTATTTCCAATGTTTGGTGGACAAATCAAACACCAGGGGCCCACTTGAGCGGAATAAACTCATGGGCTCACAGTTGGTAACAAAGGGATATGAATCTGAATGATGTGATGATATGGTACTCAAACCAAATGATAGATGATAAATGAAAATGAACATGATATTTTTTTTTTGGATGTTCAGCCCGATTTGTCCCTGAGGGCCGGAGTCAAAGGCTCTGATCTCACAGTGGAGGGCAAGAACAGTGAGATTGAAAACACGACAGGGTTTTCAATGCAGGTCTTGATTGACTTTCAGAAGGTGCTGTGCTGCCTTCAGTTTGTGGATTTGGAGCAGCAGGACAAACCAATCACCAACACGCACCGAGTGCACTTCAAGGAAGCGGCTGGCTCCTTTGACTACAGTTCGCGGGTCACTCTTGCATTGCGGCAAAGTTCGGCTTGGAAGTGCCGTGGCCAGTTGTTTCATTTTTACATTCGCCAACGAGACTATATATTATATAATAATATATATATATATTATATACATCATATATCATATCACTTCACAGTATTTATAATATATGATAAATGAGTCAGTATATGATATGGATATGATATGGGATAATATGATATATATATATTGCTTTATGCAACAATGGCCCCGAATGGTCTACATATAAACAGTTCAGGTACTTACTAGTCCTGGTTCTTTATCTGTTGTCCATGCTCTAGAACTCACATGTTTTGCGCCCATTGACTCATTGACAACTGATGTTGTTTCATCATAGAATGTGTGCCTTGATGCCTTGGAACTCCCACTTTGATTGGAAGTGATACTTTCAGACTACAGCTTTGAACATTTGTGTTCTCATACTCATATCAATTGGCTGAGGCAGATTTGGCAGAAAGTGGTTGCTCAAGGCAAGCTTGCGCTTGACCAGGAGCATTTGGTTGAGTCTGCGGCTGCCCGGTTGGCTGCGCTTGGGAAGTTGGCCGGCTTTGTCAAGGAGAGTTCTTCCGACTTCCCTGAGATTTCAGCTGAGGCAGCCACGGCATGCGGCAATGGTGTCCCTGGCTTGATCGCAGAGCTCAAGAGCTTGGCAGGCACGTCCCAAGATGCTGGGAAAATGGCGTCGGACCTCGAGACCAGCATGAAAGAACTGGCGGAGATGCTGGACCCCAGGATGGAGAAGCTCTTTGCCCAGCTCACGGAGTGGATTTCTACCCTTTGGGCCACTGACTCTCCAGTGGGCGTTGGGCCTCTCCCTGATGGAAAGGAGTTGCAGTTCCCATGGGAAAGCACTTTGGATCCCTTGGGTCGCCTGTCTTTGTATGGTGCTGTCATTTTGCCGCTTCCAAAAGATCAATTTGATATGCTGCTGTTCTAAGGAGCACTAACTATAGGATTGTAGAAACTAACTATTGCCGCTTAGAAACATCAAGCATCTGAATTTATTGTTGCACAAACTACTACCGACCCATGACTTACTAATGGTGATTATTAGTTAGTTACTAAGTTACTACTTACAACTGACTAATTGACTACTACCGTTTTGTAATACTGACGGTGTGTTTTTTCCAAGTGAAACATAAATATTCTGTATACTCTACTACGACTGATATGGCTAATATTCGATTTTTTAGTGTTGAACTCTGACATGCTTTGACTATCACTGTCCGGGGATATTCAAGCATTGCCGCATTGCTCATAGTTGGCCAAATTGTTGGTTATGTTACGCTGTCAAAACCCGATGCTTCTTCGGAGTTTTTTTTTTCAGGGCTCCTTGATCGATTGCCATGACAAGTTGGGTTGACTTACAGCGTGTGAACTAGACATTCCCAATTGCTGCGCTGTTCACTGCTCCAGATGCAGATCAGGTCGGTGGGCTGACGTTGTCGGTGACAAGGTTGCCACTGGTGTCAACATGGTGGTGAAGTTTTGCCAGGGTGTCAGGGATTTCCACACGAGCTGCCAACCCAACTCTGCTGAGCATGAGCGCCTGACTTCTGCTTTGAAGTTGAGGGCTGCCTTGGGGAAGATCTTGTAGCTGATGGGTAAAGAGAAGGTGGGTTTGGAAGCTCTTGATCTGGTGTGCGCTGGATGTGCAGAAGCCCTTCCAAGATTGACAAAGTGCATTGACGCACGTGGCCAGGATTTCATCAAGGAGCTCATCGGGTCTGGCCAGGGTGATGTGGTGAAATTTTTGGAGAAGGCCAAAGCGATCCTTGACCCACCAACGCCTTTCCTTGAGAGCTGCCTTTCTACCTGCACCTTGTGCCACTCGGGTTCTGTTGACCTCAAGATTGACGACCTTGGGGCAAAGTTCAAGGACATCCTGCCGATCATGGCCCAGTATGCTCAGATCAGCTGCGTCAACAAGGACCTGATGAAGGGCATCTCAGAGGAGAAGGTAAAGCAGTTTGACAAGTTCCTGCGTGACGTGGATCTAAAGATCTCTGAGCACGTGGAGGTCTTCAAAGGCAACTACAAACAGCTGGAGCGGCTCAATGACAAGTACAAGTCACCTGGTGAAAACTTCTGTGGTTCCCTTTCTTCCTCTCCCCCGCTTTTCGTCTGTGTTGTGTTTTCCCATGTGGATTGGCAGCCCATGTCCCGGGCCAGGTAATGAAGCCATATGAAACCGTAAAATTTCAACAAAAGCTTCTCTAGCACATGGGCACGCTGATCCATGATGGGGCATGCTGTGCTGATCTGATTTGATGGAATCTGATGGGTAGCTAACCGACATGACATGACATGAAATGACGCCGTTTGATTCGATGGGATCCTATGTATAATATAACTAGTATAATATATAATAACATAGGCATAAGCATAACTTTTAACTGAAAAACTACCATATCATATCATATCATTTCAGATGTCATATGACATAATGATATCAACCGTTTATACTTTTGACACGGAGATCCATATGTTTTGACGGTATGAACCGGTATAATTTAAGTTGGTTTAACGGTTTAACGGTATGGTCCGGTCGGTATGATGATGAAATTCTTTCAGTGATCATGTTGATGAAATTATATGCCGTTGGTTTGTCAGCCCAGAGGGAGTCAGTATGTATGGGCCATCAAATTTCCGACGTGCAGTTACAAAGCATATATAAATCCAAAACAAGCGCACATCTCACATCTCACATCTTTAATGTTTTACTCCACCTAGCCCAATTTTTTGGAGCCCACGCAAATTTTCTTTTTGCAATTTGCAGTGTGATTTTTGTTTTGTTGCTTTCTCTTCTGAGGTCAGTCAAGAAGTGTGCGGCTACGTGGCAGATGAATGATGTCATGTGGATGTTCGCTTCTGACAATGAGGATGTGGAAAGCGATGTTGCCCTGATGACAGAGAGTCGAGCGGATCTTGCCGAGTTTATGAAAGTTGCGGAGAAGGTGGTCTCCACTTCTGTGCCGACCGAGTCTTTCAAGGGAATGGCTGCTGAGATGAATGAGTTCATTTCCCAAGCGAAGGCGGGGGGATTGTTGAGTTGCACTACTTTTGAGTTTAGTCATCGTCTTTACAGTCCATACAAAGTCAATCATATAGTCAGTGTGCACGGCTTACCAGTGAGCAACATCCTGTCCAGTGTGCGTTACGATGTTTACATATCATATAATTTCCAATCATATCATATCATGTCATCATATCATATCATATCATATCATCATCAATCTCAGTCTAGCCTTTATAGCCATTGCCCATTGCATCATGTAGTCATGTAGTGACTAATTCTGTTACCCAGTGTTCCAGCAAGACAAAATTGATATTGGCATTGTGCCACATTGACGCTTTCAATTTGCATCCTTTTTTGGCACAGGCAACAGGTTGGAAGTTGCAACCCTGTATGCCGCTACAAGTTGTTTTTGCTAAAGATTACCTTAGGTTTTTGCATTCAACCTGTCACGGCAGGCCTTGCGCGAAGATGTGACCCAGACAGTCGCCATTCTGGTTGCAGCGTCCGTTTTTCTTGATCCAGAGCAAGCGGCACAGGCCAAGGGCACGGCCCCGAAGGCAATGCAATACTTGGGTTCGGCTTTGGGCATGACCATGAAGGACCTACAGGCTCTTTCCCCAAAGTTGGCTTCGAACATGGCTGAAGTCATGGGCTCTGAGAGTGGAGGGAGCCGAAAGAGGGCATCTGAGGGAAAGAGCGCCCAGAGCAAGGGTCAGGATGATCCTGGTCTTGACGCAAAGGAGCCAAAGGATAAGAAAACCAAGAAAGCTGAGCCCAAGGGCGGCGGCAAAAAGCGCAAGGCAGCAGCCGATGCCAAGTGAGCACTGAATCCCAGGGTTGGATTCTAGCAGTAGCTGTGACTTTTGGTGGATGCACCTGGATGCAGTGGGTGGCCAAAATGTGTTTGTGCTAGTTTACCGTTTTTTTTACATCAAGGTCTTGGTTTGGGACCCCCGCCCTAGCCTAGGTTGCTTCGAGCATTTTTTTGGTACCAAGATGGCTTTTGGGTTTGATTTGTATGGCCCTTGCATCCTCAATCTTCTTTTGTGCTATGTTGGGCACATGGAGTGGCCACAAACCTGCTGAGCTAGACAGCTCTTTGGCGGGAAGCTTGGCGCACATTCTGTGTGAGTGGGAATAAATGTGGCTTGCAGCCACTTGCATCTTGCGTTTAAACTGCAAACTGTAAACTTGACTTCTGGGCGAAACACACCTGGCCCACACACAAAGAAGGGGCAGGAAGGCCTGGAAAAAAACAACATACATTGTGCTGCTTGTTGTGGTGAGTGTGAGATGCGGTGATAAGACTATCTTTGGACTATAGTTTTGTCTTCTGTTGTCTCCATCTTCATCTCCTCCCCTTGGCCCAGGGTCTAAACACCCATCTCTGTGAATGAGTTTGTCAATGGACAAATCTGAGCATAGGTGCAAATCTTTCGGCACAACCCAGCCTATAGTTCCAACATATTTGTTTATAGTTCCAGTATTTCCCCATATAGTTCCCAGATTTTCCCATATAGTTCCTAGATTTTCCCATATAGTTCCTAGATTTTCCCATATAGCTTCTAGGTACCCAGGGTGGCCACACACAAATAGGCCATCACTGGTTATAACAAAAATCTATAATCAACATGAAAATTCAGTATTTAAAAATAATATTCAGTATAATGTATTTAGAAAGAAAGGAAAATGTCAAAATGCGTTTCTATTATGTAAAAAGAAAACATAACATTGAAATACATTGAATACGTTTTTAATTTTTTAAATATTGAATTTTCATGTTGAATATAGATTTTTGAAAAATATCATAATTGTAACATGTTTTTATTCTGAATGTAACATATCAATTCTTGAGGCAAACTAATATTGTCTAATAATAAACAAATAAGAAACAATACAGTTCCAATGATTCAAGGCAGAAAAAATCAGTGCACACTGTTTGCTTGCTCTGTCAATTACCTGCGGCATGTAGAAATTGCTTGCCTCTAGATGCTCTGGACGTGCTCCTTGGTGCCGGCCAGGCAAAAACATCATCCAAGGAGGTTGCCGATATCATTTGTTTTGCGGGTGAGCATCCTGAAACTTTTGCAGATCGATCCAGCAATGCCATCAGAAAAAATGTGGAAAAATCAAATTTACACCAAAAGTTGAAAACATTTTTTCAAAAAAAGAAAGATTTTAATGCAGAACAATATTTTAAAAACATATATTCAAAAAATAATGCAAATTGTATTAAATCATTGAAAAATGCTATTATCAAAAAGTAGTTTTTCAAAAACGAAATATTTGATTTTTTTTTTGTAAATATTGATTGTTTCATTGTACCTGCAATATGGAAATAAGGCAATTTTCATCGTATGATTTTTAGTAGGAAACATCTTAAAAAAATATGTATTGATAGATAATATATATATATAGACTTTAATTTTCTAATGTTGATTTTTTAAACACTATATATTATACCTGTTAATATTGAATACATTATAATGTATTTAGAAAGAAATGAAAATGTCAAAATGCGTTTCTATTATGTAAAAAGAAAACATAGCATTGAATATGTTTTAAATTTTTTATATATTGAATTTTCATGTTGACTATAGATTTTTGAAAAATATCATAATTGTAACATGTTTTTATTCTGAATGTAACATGTAAATTCTTGAGGCAAACTAATAGTGTCTAATGAGAACAGACAAGAAACAATACAATTCCAATAATTCAAAGCAAAACATTTCAGGGCACACTGTTTGATTGCTCTGTCAATTACCTGCGGCATGTAGAAAATGCCTTGGACAAATTCATGACAGCGCACATGCCTGCGCACAAAGATGCCCTCTTGCTGGCATAATATTGATTGGCATTGCATTTTTGATTGGCATTCCATTTTTTGGAGGCGCAAGCATTTGCGTGTCGGTGGTGGGCGCCACTGCGTGCAGCGGGGTGGGGCCACACGCTTTTTAAAGAAATGCTCTTCTGGCAATCTCCTATATAAATAAATCAAGAAGCTTCCATACCGATATGTTGCGATGAGTTCCCACGTTCCATAAGTCACAAACATAACTCAAGTGAACTCAAGCTAGCTCAAGTTAACTTTTTGTACCTAGTTACAACTGCTCTAAGTGAGTTATGGCCGTTACCTAAGTTTAGCTAAAGGGGGGTTGGCGAAGTAGGGTCGTTTGTAAAACTTCATCGCCTTAATTTGCAAGTCCATTTTTCTAATTTTCTTTTCACAAAGCCCGGCACACAAGAGTAGCTACATCATGTGAATGTGTATATCGCTGTTTCTGGAATATCCGTTGGCAACTCCGTCCTGGCAGCCTTGCTTTGATACAGTACCAATCAAAAATGTTTGGCTCCAGCAGCGCGACCATGTCGGGTGCGGGGTGCTCCTCAAGCTTTCCGGGAACGCGTCTCGACTTTTTCAAATTGCAGCATTGGTTGGTGCAAAGCTTTGAGCTTTCCAATCATGATTGCAGGCACGCCACACCCTTTATATCCGAGGCTTCGTCGTTTCCCAATAACATTCCTGCGACTTTCCGTGTCTGCGGCACAAAAAGTTGTGGAATCCGGCTTTCCAGACCATTACAGGCTTTTGGATCAGAATGCATGAGTGTTTTCGATTCTTGTGGCTTTGATTTTCAAACTCCCACGGGGTTGTGACTACCTGCATCAGGGAGCTCCACAGTTTCCAAGCAATCTTCTTTGCTGTGAAATTTCCGACTCCGAGTGGCCGTGGGATTCCGTATCCGCGGGCTATATAGGGGGGTTCCGAAGCAGAGCTGCCGCCAAGTTACCGAATCCGGGCGGCAACTGAAGTTTCCGAATCAGTGGGCCTGGAAGTTTCCGAATCAAAGCTCACCCAAGTTTCCGAATCCGGGCGTCTATGAGTATGAAGTTTGCACCAAGAATAGCATCAAAAATGCCCCAGCACCTTGCGGCAAATCGCTGGAGGAAGCTTGGCACCTCGTCCTGAAGAAGTCTGCCGGACCAGACCTGCCGTCAGGCGAGGCCTATGGCGTTCTCCAGAAAATGGATAGCCAAACCACTTCATTGCCATTGAATAAGGGAACATTGAGGGTTTAAGCCATGGGATTTTATGGGTTTCACATTTTGAGACCCCCGAAATATCCCAACTGGCTATGGGATCAAAATTGACCCCGAACAGGTGGATACTTGATGTTGGTACCAGAAAATGATCATTCATTCACCATCATTCACCATGACCAACAGAAAGTTTCCACCTTTTTGGAATTTCTCAACTGCACAGACTGGTGGTCTTGGATCGCCAGGATTGGAGACCGATTGCAGGCAAGGGCCCCCTGAAGTGTTGATTTCAAGATATATTTTTTCAATGGATTGGTTTTAAGGGAGAATCTATAGGAAACCATTGATTTTTCCAGTTTTTCCAGTTTTTTCTTTCCTTTCTTTAAACGAATCCGTTGAACCTTACAGCCTACGTGGGATGATGATCCCGACCACGACTTTTCATTGCCGAACCCACCAACCAGTAGACCGGACATTTGTCATTTTTGCATCCGTGAATATTGCAGAAAGATGGGCCCCAATTCATGGTCCATTGCTCGGGATAGAAAGTTTCTGCTTTCAGAAGCGAGCATGGTTTGGCAATTCAAGTATGATCCCTCTGCATGAGCACTCCTGTTCTGGACCATCCAAAACAGTGCAGGCTGCTTGAAGATTCGGGGGAGACAGCTGGGTGCCCAGAAAACCAGGAGTGAATCGCAACCACTGCTACTTGCAGGATCATCCCACTAAGTGGTTCATAACCTTGGCTCAGTGGATCATCCCATACACATCGGTTATAGCCCCAGTTACTGCCAGAGAACTAGTTTGCACTGCGGAGGTGCTGTTTTCAGCCCTTCCCACCCTTTGGTATCAATGTGCTGCTTTTATTGCTCTTCTTTTCGCTCTCGTTCCTGTTCTCTAGTTTGTTGTTGTTGTTGTTGGTTGTTGTTGGTTGTTGTTGGTTGTTGTTGGTTGTTG